ATGAGTAGGTTCATTTCTATAGCTTGCTGAAGACCGTGCCAAACCACTAAACCGGCGTCGCAGAAATTCTGCGCCCGCTCTCTTAAATGTCATAATTATCACAAACCAAAATTTTCTGACTGGGAACAGTCGTGAGTTTTCATTCCGTAGGCGCATTTCCAACATGACTCGGCTGCATTATGTGATTGCAGCATTGTAAGAACACTCAGTCGTATTTAAACAGAGCTCGATTGCCCGACTGAAGTTGTTCAACTGATTTTTAAAAATTCGATCATTCTATCAGTTAGTGCTCACAGGCCGAAAGAGAGCATTCCTCTCATGACACACGAAGACGTTTTGCATCTCTTGTCCCCACTTGACGCGGTCGTCGTTTTGCGGCACCCCGTCGCGGCTTCGACGGTCGGCATCTCAGAGTAGAACGGTGAAAGTCGATGATCAAAGCACGCCGGAGCTCTTCATTCCAAAGAACATTTTCTTGCCTCAGGTCGTCATGTATTATCCCGAGAGATTTGATCTCCTTGTTCGACTTGTGAATCTCGCGGCAAAGCTGCTGCGTCAGCTCCATCGTCGCAGTACACTCACCCCCCCAACCCATGACGAGCATGTGGCGAATTCGTGCGCCATGAAGAAAATATATTTTTGCCAAGTCAATGGTACCCAAGAAAACTGGCACAGCAGATCCTTGGGCCTGGTGGAGCACTCGATACACCTCTGCTTCGCGGGAAACTTCTTTCCACAGCCCCGCAGTGGTGCCTTTCCCGATAACCGTGTAGCCGTATTTCATGCATGTCAGTTTAAATGGAGCGCCGTATGAGCCGCAATCACCAAAAGATATGCAACGGTCCATGTCTTCGTCCAGCTGGTTCTTCAATGAGAGCATCAAGTCCTCGGCCGATATTGGATGCTGAGTCGGATCGGCCTGGCCTCGGCGATGATGATCCACGTTTGGACACCGCTCATCCAAATAATTTTTGGTCCGCAAGCCAAGCAAGCACCGCTGAGTGCAGAATTGCGCGGCGCGGCGCTGGGAATAATCGTCTTGGCCCTGCCCTGCCCTATGCTGACGGCCTGATCGCCGAGCGGACGGTGAAGACGTGACCTGACTGATCCTCCGCTTATGGCCGGCTGCTTGATTGGTGTCGGAGCCGGAAGATCCAGGTGACTTCGACCGCGGTCGAACCTCCGAAGGCACACAGCTCGCTTGAGATCGCGTAGGAATCCGACGGCTCTCTGAGGGCGCTGGTAACGGAGATGACGATGGCGGTGAATAGGATGAGCCAGTATCTGGACTCGGAAATTCGGGGTTGGTGCTATCGGAGTGAGGAATTTGCTGCAACTCTTGTCCTGGGATTTGTGAGCGCGTGCGGTCGAAGCTTGTTTCCCATTTGTGAAGAAATGGGTACGCTCGATTTCTCCATTCTTGCCCTCGGGGAGATGAACGAAACGCCATCAAACAAAGACACAGTGCCCTCGCAACAGAAGATCTCCATAGGAGGGAAGCCATATCACTTTCTGGAGTCATTTCGCTGTGAGGATCACAGAGAAAGTAGTAGAGCGTGCTGGGCCGGTCGAGCGGAACGCGGAGCAGAACGCGGGTAAGCCCATTTGTCAGATATGAATATTCAAGTCCTTCTTCAATCATCACATGGTATTCCTGAGAAATGGCGGAGCAGACGAGTCGTTCCGCCTTGTGTCTCACCTTTTCTTCCTGGTCGGTTGATGTCTTATTGGCTCGGACCATATCCTTCCAGAGGTCCATTGGTCGAAGTCCCATGCGTATGATTGCAGAAGACAGCTTGTGAGGTGGCTTGTACTCGACAGTCGTCAGAATGGTGGTCGAGGCACCGTCGACGCGGTTGATGCAGAACTGGTCAGGCCGCGGTTGACTTGCACTGGGAAGCTCGTTTGCTTCAACCTCCGCGGCTTCATCTTCGTTCAGGAAATTCTTATGATTGCTGAACTGGATTCCGTCTCCAAGCTGGAACTCCTCACGAGCGGCTGGCAGTTTGCAAAGCTCGGCTATAATATCATGAACATGTTCTTCAACGCCAAATCGCTCGTAGGCCTCAAGTTGTTGCTCGCTGCTCAATGGGCTGCGAGCAAATCGACGGCCAAGCCCTTCTATCTCAGCTAGAGACGAAAATAGGCGAGCCGGCGGTTCCCGCTCCGGGCAAAGATGTTGGCACACGGACTTGTAAACTTCCGAGAGCTGTTTTGGACAGTCGGTCCAGTGTTCCAATCGAGCCGGGCAGTATTTTCCTTTGGGGAGAGGTATTTTTCCAGTTGTTGAGCGAGATGGTGAATCAACTCTCAATGATCGGGAGAGAAGGACATGGCAGTGCTGAATGAGCTCTGTGAAAGTGGTCTGTCGGGTGCGCTCTTCTGCCCGTCGTCTCCCTTCTGCTTCCCGCTTCTCGCGCTCTTCTGCCTGTCGTCTCCCTTCTGCCTCCCGCTTCTCGCGCTCTTCTGCCTGCTTCTCGCGCTCTTCTGCCTGCTTCTCGCGCTCTTCTGCCTGCCTCCGTCTCTCTTCCGCCTGCAAATAAAGAGTTTGGTAATCTGGAAGATTGGGATTGGCCATGTATTTGTAGATAAAATAGATAAAACCGGGTTCCTAAGACAGTTGTGACATGCTAGGTCCCGGTCGGCGGCTTAGCATTGTTGGCAGACGTCAGCTGATCCCGGCTCCCGGCAAAAGTATTCACCCGGAAACAAACACGACTCACCGTTTTCCGGGTAACGATACGCGATGCCGATCGCACTTCCTGCAACTCACTAGTCCAACACTCAAAAGGTCGGAAGACTGCTTAACACACGAGCCAAAATCCTTGAGCCGGTATTAATAGGTTTAGAAATAGGTTTAGGAATTGCAAGTTGAATTTTTTGGGTTCAGGCATGGGTTTGGGTTTAGGCATGGGCTCACTAACAACTGTGGGGGTAGTGAGATGATCAGTCACGACTAGAGGTGTTGGAACAGCTGCGGGCCTGTCGCATGCACGAATGAGATAGCAAGGAGTCTTGATTCGAAATGTCCCTCTGACCATACAGTTTTATATGATAGCGCGGACCCACCAGACTAGAGAATACTAAGATCACGTTCTTCAATACAACAAATGACATAATAAGGTTCCACACATATCGACAAGAGGCTTGTTGTTGGAAAGTAGAGTGGTTCGATCGGGTAGAATTGTGGAGTTGGCGAATTCCAGGAGTGATGAAGGGCGACGGAGGGCTGATAAGGGCTTGAGCTTCCAGTTCGCATTGAACTCTGGATGCTGAGAATTCATCCTCTTTTCGTCTCTTTCAGACCGTTCAGTCACATATTCACAGTCCGTCATGTATCTCGCCGTGTCAAGAGGTCGATACGTAATGTATATCCATATCGCTTTTTTGCGAGGGGTCAGGGTAAGTGAATTCATACATAATACGTACATACAGTATATCCAGTGGTCATCTGGAGGGCGTTCTTCGACATGACTTGGGGTTTATGGTGGGGTCAGAGGCTTTAGCTTGGCACGCAGGATTTCGTCTCACTTGTCTGAAAGTAAGAAATCTTCAAAACAGGTCGATACATCTAGTCTTGGTCGGTGTTGTAAACCTTTTCAGTCCGTTCCTTCGCTTCAGGGAACAGCGCCCCCCCCCTCCCTCCCCGGCGCAACACAATGAGCACAAAAGACAAGAAGACAAGGAACTCGCCCACTATATTTCTCGCCCAATTCCTTGGAGCATAGCCAGAGAAGATTCCCCAAGTGTAAAGCCTGCTTAGACCAACCCATACACCTTTTTGCTCCCAAACCATAGCTCCCGTCAATACTTATAACCCAGGCCGGTGATGAATGAGGTTCAAACCGTCTGAGTGGCCGCCATCTCCCCAGCCAAAGGTACTTGATCTGTGGTAGCACTATTTGGCACCGACATCTGAAATTCTCCGAGATGACATCTATCAAGGTCAGAAATAGAAGAATTGAAGTTTTCAAGAACCCACATCAATGTGAAAAATCAAGATCTTATTATGATTTTCCCATTCCAGTTCGATATCACTGCAGGCACTTCGCGGCTCTCCATACCACTTGCTCCAATTTTCTCCATCCTTGACCTTTATAGCTGTGATGTTACCCACGGGGTTTCGACCGAGTACTAAACCTTTCAGGTCCTTGATGCGCACATGATATGATTTGGAGGATCGGGGTTTAAAGCCCAGCAACTTGCCGTCACAAGCAATACCTGACAGGCAGATTGATGATGCATAGCTTGAAAATAAAAACTCCAATCGGCGACAAGTCTTTGCCGGTATGCATTGCTTTTTGTAATATGGGTTTGCACGTAGTTGCGGATCATTGGCGACAAAGGCAGGCGGCGGGGAATTCTTCATGGCATTGACCGCTTCGTGTACATTGTTCCACGCGACACGGAAGTTGTAGGTTTTGGGAAACCTGGATTGGTCACATTCTTTGATATTCTTAACTATCCTTCGAACACAAGATCTGACGTTCAGGTTCTTGTCGTTTTGTAGGTCGTACTGGTTCCACTCAGAGATCCAACAAGCTAGACAAGGATCGACTCGTTCAACTTGGTCCATTGTAATGACTTCCGGTCCCTGATCAAGTAGTGCAAAACATTTTTGGAAAAAATCAAGGGAAAAATTGTCTCGACATATATCCTCGTCGGCGATCTCTGAAAGAGCCTCCGGTTCTGCAAATAGGGCATAATCCAGCCCATCCGTTTCGCAGTCATAGGGCGTTGGTTTAGCGAAAAGTCTCAGGTTGAAAAGATGGTTTGCGACCATATTCAGCAATTGCGGATCGAAGCTGGAGCGTCCAAGTACCAATTCCGCAACTTTCCAGCAGCAAGCATGAACGGTTGGTTGCTCAGTTAAAGAGTGACGTCGGACTGATACAAGATGACCTGCATCTCCCAAAATGTGGAGAGGCTGGAATATGTTTCTCCAAGTGTCGGGCGCGTAATTCGAGAGCTCTATCGGTCGGCAACATATCCAGCAATAAATGGGCAAAGAAACCCCGGATGGGCAGCGGGCCGTTCCTGGAGGCGGTGCTGTTCCTGGAGGCGGTGCTGTTCTTGGAGGCGGTGCTGTTCTTGGAGGCGGTGCTGTTCTTGGAGGCGGTGCTGTTCTTGGAGGCGGTGCTGTTCTTGGAGGCGGTGCTGTCCTAGGAAGAGACACCATTTGGAGAGAATAAGCCAATCTGGGGGCTTGAGCCGACTTGAGCCGACTTGGTGGGTATATGTAGGTGAGTGTATGACACGTAATTACGCGAGGAAGGAGAGATGGTTGTTGCACGGAATGCGCGAGAATGGGAGGGGAAGGTGGTTTGGTTTTCTACCGACCCAAATCATTGACCGAAATCGAAAGGTCGCGCTAAAGCTACCTAGTCCGGTAATCAGTGTGTTATTAATTAGCTCTAGTACTTTTGTAGAGCCATGGCGACGTACCGTGGGAAGATCGGCGGGGCTCCAAGCTCACCTAGGCTCAGAGGGTGAATTTATCAAAGCCGAGATTTGGAAAGATCTCTGACTAGTTTACTACAATTGGCGTCGTGTGACAACGTCCGCTTTGCATCGCTATCTCAGCCTCCAAGTGGTTGATTTCGTTTGGAGCCGCAACATTTCCGAGCTGAGCTCGGAATTCTGCCCAAAGCTCATCAGACTTTTTGCTGATTTGTTTGCAGACTTGGCCGGTGAGCCTCTCAACGTCTCTTCCGCCAGTGGAAAGAAAAGTGGCAAGATCAACTATAATCTTTGCGGCACAGAATATGACAGGGGTTTGCGACAATCTTTGTCGAAGCCTCCGGGGGCCACGTTCGAGTACGGAAGCCCGCGTGGTCATACAAGCTGATATCCAACCAGGATTCCTGGCCTAGGCCACCCATCAGTGGGATTTCTAGCAAATTGGGGAGGGGGTGTGGTCCTCTTGGTTGGGAGTTGGAGTGGCGGCGGCGTGATTCGAAGACAGTGCACAACAGCCCGTTTGCCGATCACTTTTCGGATGTAAGTCGTCCTAATCTCGACCGACCGACCCACACATTTGATCCTTTCCCATCCTACCTTTGTTAATGCTATATGACTGAACACCACCAGTCCCAACGAAGAAACTTGAGTGAAAGTTAGCTAAAGGAATCTGGACAACATCACAAAGTGCAAAAAAATGGTACTGTACAGTCAGTTTTCCATGTACTCATGTTGATCCGTGTTGTCTCTGGGACCGGGCACGGACCGCTCGTGGTGGACCCCTCCATTTTTAGTCCTGAAATTGGGTCCTCTCTCATCTCACGCACACTGACTGGGCTGGGGATGCGATTATACCGCAAAATGCCAATTGTTGTTCAGCAATCTGAATAACCGAATAACGATTTCCGTGTAAGACTGGTGTGAGGGGGTTTTGAAGAGGCTTCCAAAGAATATGAGCGGTCATTCAGGAGGTCACGAGGAAAAAGGGGTGATTCAGCTCATCCTTGCCAGTTCTTAGGCGCTGTTGGAATGGTCGGGATCTGCCGGAGCATAGTCATTTTTGTACTTGATGTCATAATTTAGGGAATTCAGAAAAGCCTAGCAGGATTGGGAAATACCGAGAATACGACGATATGTACCAGACGTAGAGGATATCGTCATACGATAAACTGTCAGATTGACAATATGTCTAAGAGGTTTCTACGAGTGAAAGTTTATCAAAGGGTTCAAGACAAACAGAACTGCGAGATGAGGATAGGGCAGGAGTATTGATGTTGATCTGGACTGGCCGGGGTGAATCAAGAAAGTGAGGCATTCCGAAGAGATTTTCCACGAGCATAGGGAGCTGGTCAAGGGAAATGGGCAGGGGGGTCTTTACTCTCCAATCTCCGTAGTATAACCAACTATCCAAGGCTCCAGCGTGGGGGCCAGAGTTAGAGAGGTCTGTCCAATCTTGAAGCGCTGACGGTGATCGAAACGGTTAAGATCTGCCGCCGCACGGGCCATACAGTATTCGGTACAACAGTTTCAGGATTTGTGGAAACAAGCCAAAGGATTCTTGAGAAGCTCCTTCTTCCCGAACTACCCGATACGCCATATCGGCAAGAAGTAAAAGCGAATCAGTTGGGTTTGTCCGTCGTTTGGTTGTGGGAAAGCCACTAGGTCGCTAGTGCGTAGCCGGGGCAAATTCTGAAATCCCCGATACGCTAAACCATCAACGGCACGCGTGCCCGGAGACTGACTGGAATTATCCCGACACCCTGGGGGCTTTTTATCATTTTTCGAAACCTACATCACTTGCTGCAATGGTCGCATGGACTCTAGCGGTATCCCAAGGACGTGATCTTGCGCTTCAGTGTACTGCATGGGGGCAGGTTAAATGGATTGAGCTGAGCAGGGACTCCCAGTCAAAAATTGATCGCTGGCGTCGTCTTTTTTGACCATGAGCATTCCTAGAAGGGATATGCGTTTGGAAACCGGGTATTCTATCTCAATTTAAGGATAATTCTCGCATCACGTGTTGGTTGTAACTACCCTTCCCATTCAATCCTACTCCAAGGAGTGCGTTAGCTGAGAATTGATCAGATAAGAGCCATTTCTCAGGTTGAAAAATGAGGTTCAGAAAATTCAATAAAAAGTGACTTGATGGGAGCTAACGACTAGAGGCACTAGCAAATCTGCTAGATATATGTTTCAACAATCACAAACGACTCTCATGCGGAGATCGGAGCTGGACTAGTTTTGCTCACCGATTCATTCATGTTTTCAAAACTCCGAGACTCTTTGCCGTTTGTTTGTTCCCTGATATGGAGCTGGATCCACTTGAAGTGGAATTAAGTTGGTCTGCAACTACAAACTCCTATGTTCGTGTTGGCGATCAACGAAAGGCGATCAATGCAGATTGCACGTTATGTGATCGGGCCCATCCATGCTTGTGCCACGAGGGGACACCAGCTCAGATGGGAGGCCATAGATGGCCAACCGTTCATTAAGAAATCATCGCATAATACCTGGTGGAGTGATCTAAAGCGGCAAAGACGCACCATCGGTGCCCGTGAACGACGAGTTGCTGACAGTACCCACATGACGCGAATTCCATCCCACTCGGTACTGTGGCTCTTCAGCTTTCAATTCCTTTCACGGATCGGGATGGTGGTTGGAGAGCGTACCTGCGTCAGGGAGAACAAATTCCGACCTGGGGTTGAAACACTCCTCTGCATGGAGAATGACTCAGTACTGCGTTCCACCTCCACCAAGCTTTCGGGACCAATCTGCCTCATTGTTTTCCCAAGGCTCCCGAGCAGCGTGTTAGATTTGATAGTATGTGGCCGAAGTCGAAATAGACGTCTAGTCTGACGCATGTAACTCATCTCAGTCGTCCGCAGCTTCCAAATGCTTTGAAAATCGAAGAAATGGACAGATGCTAGAGCACTTCTACACGGTGACTGCAGAAATTCGGCATGTTCCTTTCAACCATGCTATCAGGAAACTATTTCCGACATGATGCTTCCCGGTTTATCGCATCAAAGTCCAACCATCGACGATGAAAATTTCAACGGACCGTGTCCGGTGTCATATAATACATCAAGCTTCCTTGCCAGTCATTTAGCATAGAGTACTAAAATATTTCTCGTCGCCTTTGAAAGTTCCTGACAGGCTTTCAAAGCCCGGTCTGTTGTTTTACAAAGGCAGACTCTGTGGGGAAAGTACAGATTTCAGCATTCTTGGAAAGCTCTGCCTGCTCTTCCTCGACAGTCCGGATCGGTGAAACTGAGTGTAGCAGGTTCCAGAGGGTCTTGGGAAGTCTCGTTGGCCTCTTACCGGTGGTTTCTCGTATCATGCCCACACTCTGTTCGAGGTTAGTATGTGCATACTCAACTTGAAGATTTCACTGTGAACTGACCTCGACGCTTGTTGTCTCGCTATAAAAGAATTCCTGTCTTCCAGTCACCCTAAGCAAGTATTTCCAGATACGGGCTTTGGTAGACGGCTCCAAAAGTCTATCGGCTTGTTCAATGTCGCCCACCTGGGGAAAGTTCTGGAGGAGATTGACATAAATCGGAAGTAGAGTTGGTTCGTGCATGTGCACGGCACACTGCCATATTTGCCGCACGTTGTCTGCCACCCCATCCGTGGCGATCAGTCCTTGACGATCACGGCTGAACTTGCCCAGAGCAAAGTTGTAACCAAACTTGAATTGCTTGGCCCTTGAAGTAGACATTGGTAGCAGGACCCCATGCAGGAAGAGCTTTCCGTGAAACTGCGAATCGAGAAGCAAGTCTCCTTGAGGTGTCTCTACAACGGAGGAGGGATGGGAGAGCCTGCGGATATCGAGAGTGACCTGCAGCCACTCGAAGAACGTTTCGGGTGATATCGGTCGACTATGACTGGCACGTCCAGCCCCAATCACCACCGTGATGTCTCTTTCGATATGGAAGCGCAGCTTTGCCATATCATCAGCTGGCTCACGTTGAATGGCAGGACTAATCTTTCGGGAAGGAGTGATGATACAACGGAGAGACTGGTATTTCCCATGAAGACCAAATTTCCACTTACGGTGGCTTGCAGCCAAGCTCACTTTGTATCCGTCTCGACTCATTATTAACGCAGCCAGCTTGAGCCCCTCGCCATGGGACCCTGCCAGCTGTTCGTCGTCATCCTTGGATGTGAACCCCATTACGAGAGACTCGAGGGGAAGTTGCATGCAGGAGTTGGTCAAGATGACTCGGCCGGTCATTTTCTCGTACTTGATGAACCCCAGAGCTCGCCGATTGCCGTTGCTATTCGAGGTAGTTGGAACTGTGATGGAGAAATGGTCTTTTTTGTCTTCAAAAAATGGCTTGAAATCCAGTCGATTTAATTGAAATCTTTCCAGAATAGCATCTTTCCTATTCTGTCTCAGCGATTATCCGAAGAAATAGATGTCACATACCAATTTTGATACAGCTCCCGAAATGCATCTGCAGTGTTCCAACCTTTCACGTAGGCAGGTGAAATCCCAACTGGGAGAGTATGCTGTGAAGGCTCAGTCAAAACTTCTCCGCTCTGCCGTAGTTCACGATCTAACTGCAGATTCGCTTCGTCGCTCGTGCTCGTGGAACTATTTTGATCCATGTGATCCTTAGCTGTTTGATTGCTCATTGTTGGGTACGCATTTGGAGCACTGCACCAGAGTGCAGTAATGACCTTTTGCCTCTGGGTCGTGCGCCTGCTTTTTATAGGGGGCCCTTGAATTCTTTTCCGAGACATTCTCCCTGAGACCGTTGACCGTGGTGAACAAAGATGGTGGTATCCTCATTGATGATTTGACGAGAAAAAGATTAATCCTGTGTATGGGATGTATGAAACTAATCTGGCTTTTGCATTCACGACTCACCAGTCCTTGACGAACGACCATGCGGTGATGTGGAAAATCTTTATGGCTGATTGACTTGGTCATATCCGGTGAACTCTACATTCAACGTTGAATAGCTCCGCGTTGATATTAGCGTGCTTACTGTTGAATTGAGTTCAGGCCGAATGTTGAGGTCAGCGTGTCCAAAGATGAGGTATACAATCCGTTGGACCTTAAAAACCTGCCTGTTGTTTGAGCAATAGTTCGTGAACGAAATCCAGCGGTGGATTGGGATCATCATCGACCGGAAAACCCTTGAGGCATATGATTAGAAGCTTATCAGCTCGATTTTTTCAAGTTGACGAACCATAACAAAGCTGAAGGGATGGGCCTCTTCAAGATAAGACATACAATACAATACAGTTATAGTCTTTGCAATATCCTACCTATATCTCCAGAAACAATCTGCAATGGTTATACGAACAGAACTTAGGAACTATATCAAAGATGACTGAGCGTGGTGACACCAGTCACGGCGTGTAAAAACGGGTCAGGGAGCGTTTCGTTTCCGCCCAAGGGCCATCAGGAACCATCTCATGAGGGAACGTTCCATCATCTGCTATGGCGTATCGGTCAGCCCCGGCCTTTAACAATTCGCCCGCTGCTGTCCACGTCTCTTCTTTCGCGACAATCCTATGCAGTGGCGTAAATCCAAGCATATCCCGAGAGTTCACATTGGCCCCGTATTGAATGAGAAGTTCGACAATCTTGTGGGCATTCCTTGCTTCAGCAGCATAATGCAGAGGTGATTGGCCATTCTTGTCTCTCGAATTTGCACAGCTTCCATGTTCCAATAGAACCTTTGTTGACTACTGCTCCGCACGAATCGAATCGAATCGAACTTTTGCCTGATTCGATTCGATTCGAATAAATATTGAAAATAATGGTTCGTACGAATTCGAATCCTAGTCCGATTCGAATTCGATTCGAAGTTCGCGAACTTTTGCTTTAAAGCCTCATTGGGAAGGCGGTAAATCAAGTGGCAATACCTGCTATTGAACGCCGTACAATCGACACCACAATATGTCGTTTAATGAACAGCATTTATTAACCCAACTAGCTACGTATTTAATGGGTACATAAATAAGTAGCTTAGGGCTATCTTATCATATAGATTTTGAGCAAATTGGCTCTGCATTGAATAAGCTTTAGGGCTGTATCAACAAATGTGGGTTTTCGTTAACCACGTTCATGTATAAAATATATAGTTTTTACTCCCAAATTGACCCACCAAGTCCATAACTTTGTTTGTGCTCCGTTTTGCTTCAAATTACATTCACTCATAGATCGCAATGAGATACGCGTAAGATAACGATACAGCATCAAAGTATCAGTAGTTGCATAATTTACCCAACGTAGAGTAGAGTAAGTGGATAGTCTAATCGGGCTAGCGGAGATTCGACTAGAACGCGTCTCCGCGCGGACGTGCTTTGTCCCAGAACAACATCTGAATCTCGGTCAAAAGTTACTGAAGACCACCGAAGTGCTCTAAAGTAAGCGATCAATCGAGCCAAAGCTTGACATACTGATATAATATTACTGTATAGATGACATCTCCACTTCCTACAATATTCGACTGTCCCAATACTAGGAAGAATAAACGCGATTATGCGGCGCTCAACAAATATGGCCTCCTTGCAGAGAACATACCACTTCCGCCTCCCCGAAAGAAGATGGCGGTCCGGTCCGCCGTTAAGTCGCCGACTCCTCCGATTTCAACCTCTCCTACAGCTCCCAGCAATGTCTCTATGAGTCTATCGAATCTTGATACGGATATACGTCCTTCGCAATCAATATCTCAGGTCGAATGCGAGGTAGAGAGGGTCGAAATCAAACAGAAAGATGAGATTAGGTCGAAAGAACGGAGCTGGGTTTGGAAACACTACCTTACTACACCTGAATCTGGTACCTGGAGATTAGGAAATAAGGAGCGGTCCGAGCTTAAACACCTGTGTATTGTATCGCCATCCACCTGCCGATTCTTTCGATTTGCATCGAAACTACGATCTTCTACCACAGCGTTGAAACAGCACCTGCAGCAAACCCACAAGCTCTTCCAGGACGGCCATTCAGGGTGCCAAGGTCCGTTAAGCTCATGGATTTCTAAGGAAAAGAAGCTTCCATTCGAAGAAGCTGTCTTGAATTGGATTGTATCAACCTGCCAACCGTTTACATGCGTCGAACAGCCTTCATTCAAGGCTATGTTGAGGTCTGCAGGCTTTGAGGACTCCGTACCAAGTGCGGATACTGTGTCGCGCCGATTATGTCTTCGGGTTGATGCTCTTGACAGTGAGCTTCGAATCTTGATGTCTTCAGCACCCTCAATTGCGCTATCTTTGGATGGTTGGACCAGTCAGAATTCATTGCCAATGCTAGCCATCAATGCTCACTGGATGTCCTCTGCCTTCCAGCAATATCGAGCTTGTATTGAGTTCGTTGAAATTGAAGGCAGCCACTCTGGAGAGAACCTTGCTAATATCGTTGCGACGGTTCTCGAGAGGTTTCATATATCTGATAAAGTTATGACGATTACAGCTGACAACGCATCGAATAACGATACCCTACACCGATATCTCTACCAAAAGCTGTCTCAGCGGTACGATGAGTACCTGTCCGAGACTATCATCCGAGAAGGGACGATGAAATTTACCCATAACTCCCAAATCCGCTGCTTTGCTCACATCTTGAACTTGGTTATGAAAACTATATTGCGGTCTCTACGCGCTAGTTCACATAAGGAGGCCTGTGATCTCCTTGATGATGTTGCTAAGAGGAGCTGGAAGACGGTCAACGCTCCTACTTCGCCGATAGCAAAGCTTCGACTACTTGTCCTTTGGATTGCGCGATCTCCTCAGCGGATACAGAAGTGGGATAATCGACCTGGCTGTACAAAAGCTATCAACTTCGATGTTGATACTCGATGGAACTCTACCTTTGTTATGATTGTGAGAGCTGAAGAGTGTCGCCGTCAGCTCGAAGATACAGTCAACGATGATCCAGATATCGAAGCCTTACGTCTCACACCCAACGACTGGAGACAGCTCTCGGATATCAAGAAAATCCTGGCTCCCTTCAACGAATATACCGAGTACGTCTCTCGGGATAGCCCTTCAATTCATATGGCGGCGCGTATGTTTGGAGAGCTCCGTTCTATACTCCTCGCTATCAAGGAACGACGAGGCGAGTGGCAGAAGGTCTCACCGGCAATAACTGTTCATGTTTCCGACGGAATCTCACTCCTGGAGAAGTACCACGACTGCATCAAAGACAACGACATATACTATATCGCAAGCGTTCTGGACCCTCGAATCAAGACCAAGTGGCTCAAAACGCTACCGGATGGAGAGAAGATTATTGACCGAATCCGAGAGTTCCTGAAGAAAGCATATTCCACTACAAAACAGCCTGTATCGACTGCTCCAAGCACCAATTGGAAGAGCTTCGAATATCGATTTCTGGAAGCCTTTCAGCCTACACAGTATAACGTCGCTGAGTCTGACATTGACAAGTACCTCGATACTCCGACAATCAGCACTGGTTTCGATATAAGCCAGAGCCAGTCCGAGTTTATACGAAACTGGTGGAAGGCCAACATGCTTGAATATAGTTGTATGGCAAAGGTAGCCCAAGATCACCTTGCTATACCAGCAGCAGAGGTAGATATCGAGAGATTGTTCAATGGTGGGAGAGATGTGCTGGGGATTCGACGTTTCTCCATGAAAGGTAAGACCCTTGGGACCTTATTAAGGCTGAAAGATGCTGCGCGTTGGAAGTCTTCATAGTTATACAGTGATACCTTTTTTGGGCATACCGGTGTTTGATTTTCTAGACCTTATTTGCAGAAGTATTCTTGTAGGGGCCAGGCATCTCGAAAACTGGTTCCACAAACCCTTTTTCCTAAAAAGGCTAGATGTTAGTTCGCGAACCTGTTCGAAGTTCGCGAATTTTGACGAATCGAATCGGCCATAGATTCGAAGCACCGAAACCAAGGTTCGAATTCGATTCGATTCGCCGAAATTCGCGAACTTCGAACAGTTCGAAAATTCGTGCGGAGCGGTAACAACTTCGCCACTGATTCATATTCGCAAGTGCTAGATGTTGATTAGTCAAAAAATGCCACTGGAAGTTTTACTAATCTGAGATAAGTATAACTATCTCAACTCGAACCGAGAGCAAATAGATACAAGTTGTTTGTACATCATACCTAACGCCAGCGGCCAAAATAATGCCGACAGCGAGTTCAGCTGAGCCTTGTGAAGCGCGAAGCGGACATTTTAGGCAGAAAACACAGCTCGCGGGTCGGCAAGGGAGTGTCGACAATTCTATCCGTACCGCCTCACGACGTAGCAAAACCAGCCCATCTATATTAGTCGACAGTCAGATTAACATGACTCTGGGAACTAACACATATATCCTAAAAACTCCAAAAGCAGTTCTAGGAAATGTTTATCCCCTGGGAACTCCTCTTTAGCCATTTCCTGTTTACAGGAAACCGAGTTCTACCCCTGCGATCTTCACTATACGATCCTGACTGAATACGAACTGGTTTTGGGAACACATTGGCTGGATCTGGGAGCTGTCGCGCTCCTGGGACCCTACTTCTGGATCCTAGAGTCAATATTCTGCCCTCTGAGGTCGCGGAAAGCCCTCACAAGACACCTTCACCGGACCTGCGCACAAACCTGCGTAATTCGCTTTTCCCGAAAAAGTAAAGCTATAGCCCCAGGAACTGCTCTTGGGGTCCCAGGAATTGATAAGACTGTTATGAGGGTCTCACGTATACGTAGATGAATAATCAATATTAAGGAAAGCTATGGTCGACTCTAGATACAAGACGTAGCGCGAGGAAGCAAAAGAAAGGTAGCTTCCTCGCGTTCAGGGGAACCCATATACACTATGTGGGTCCCGCGCAGATCATTTCTCCATGCTTCATGTATATCTCTGACAACTGTCAACAGGAACATGGCATTGGTTCTGGAACGAAATGAAGCAACCCGAGCTGGCCACATACCATTTTCAGGCGGTCCTTGATCTGTTGAAGGAGAATCCTGAGCCGGATCGTGCGGCGAGATTTGGGGGTATGCATGTGATCTTCGGCGGAGCAAGCTGTGGTACACAAGCCGTTGAGTAGCATGGAAGCATGGTACGCTTTCCCTTTCCTCTCTAGAAGACCTTTGAGATTCGAGTCCACACATTGAAATAACCTTTCTATATTGTTTTTGGATATCTCTGTGAGTATCTATCTGCCATAGATGCGGGTTAAGCCACAGATAACGCACAAGTCTGATGGAATATTCGCTTTGCCCGACACTTTATCATTTGATGAATATCAAAGCCAATTAAACATGACTAAAGACCCAGCTCATAGAGCGTAAGTCTCTCGTTTCCTTCTGGGGGCAGTGAAGGGGCAGCGCCTGACCGGACAACCAAGTGGAGGGCGAAGAGGGCGAACAATCGAGCGAACGACCGAGCACGTCGAAGCACAAAATACTGACACGAATCATGTTCGATCTGAAAGAAAACCCGTCCCCCACTGATTGATTTCAGTGCAGTATGATAGTGAGTTGTTACAGCATGTATGGCCCTGGGAGTTTTAAAGCCCCAGGGGCCACAAAACAGCCCATGGAGGATCTCGTACGCACAGCTAGACTAGGCGCAATCGGAACATTCTAAAAACCCCTGTCTATGCACTATAGCCAACAATGATCTCCTTTCAACGCCACCATTCTTCAGCTCTTCGTTTGTCTGAGGTGGAATAGATGGTGTGGTCAACTGACAAATTCAGACAATGATCAATTTGCCAGCAACAGATGCGACCCTGGTGCCAGTAACCTTTTTGCACATCGGAAGAAGCGTGATAGATATGTGGGGAGGGTCCCGCAAATTCAAAAGGATCTATCATGTTTCAGACTTCATGTGTTGGTTTTTACACCTCAGGTAGGAAAGCCTCCGTATACGTATATGTTGTGATATGAGGCTGGTGCAGATCAGGAACCAAGCCGCACCATCAGAATTAGCTCCGAAATGTCTATACAGAGGACCAAGTTGATTTCCAATCAACCTGGCTCATTGTTATATATATAGGCACATGTATCACCCTGAAATAAAAGGTCAATTTACACCTCTGAACTACAACAGTATAGTCTGGAATATATAAAACGGACATAATCCCTAATCTGATCCGCTTATCTCGTGGAACTACCACAATGGATTCTGGCCGCCTGGCAAATCTTAATCCAAGCCTGCGGGATTTGATGCCAGAACAAAGCGATATAGTTTCATATTCAAAGGGGAAAGGAGGAACAGTACGAGATAGGTCGCAAATAATCATGATGCACATGCGCGACTGCCGCACGTATTACCGCACTGACCTCTTGGCTAAATTACAATACTGGTTCTGGTAAAATATTATGAGTTTAATTGGCACGGTGCTTCGAGTGATCATTGCCCAATCATCAGCGTTGCTGCCGAGCAACCCATGCCATGATGCGTCAAATCCAGCGTTAGCACGTACCAATTATCAATATTCAACATGCGCTCTGTTCTAGCGCCAACAACACCTCCTAATGACGCTATAACCAAATATATATATATATTTTTCATATAAATGTACAGTAGCTATGTTATCCGTATCTTCCTCCTAGCTCGGAGGGCAAGCCAAGGGCTTGCATCATACTTACGAACGAGCGTTATCTCCAGGAATTCCTATAACGGGTCGCGCCGCACGAGGGACCTCAAAGCCCCAATCATGAGGCACCAATAGGCGCCTCGGAATAGCGCCCCGCAGCTCATGTAATTTAGTGCAACTAAAGGAAGATCTTCTCGTTGACTATCCCCTCCCCCCCCGTTTCCCTCGCTTTCGCCAAATTCGAACAATACATTGCTTTTCGCACCTACGATCACAAAACCTAGCATCATCGTCTATCCCACCTGTCTTCATCAAGATTACCATGGGTGTCTCTGAAAGTAGAGTCGTCATCGAAACTCTCTCTGCTGCCTGCGCGGAGGCCGAGGAAAATGAGAAGGATAACATTGAAGACCTTCTTACCAGCAAAGTGGTGTGCTTGGAATCAATACCCTGTTAGACAAAGACACTAACAGAGGACAGTTTATCAGTTCGCTGCGATGCCTTTGGTCTCAAATCCCAGTGGGTGCCAGGAGAAGCATTGGCCGCCCCCCGTGCCATAATTCCCCGACAAGACCTCGAAAACGAGTTAAGAAAGCACACGATTCGAAAATTACTATCCCTGAAAAGTTTAGGGGAAAATGTGCTCCGCTGGAAAGAACGTCCACTCCTATTCTTTACGGAAGATGACAGTACACTTGATCTTGACGAGTTACCACTTGCACAATCTTATAAGTACCTAACAAAGGTGCATGAGCGAAGAGAATCTGACACAATCCGCTCAAGGTTCCTCAAAGTGATGTATCATCGACTGAAAAACAGGTTATGCATCGATCAAATGCGTCCCAACAATGTGGAGAAGGCAGCTCACATAATTTTGAAGTCAGGTTTGGTAAGTAGTGACTTGGAAACCATCACACGTCAAGTGACCGGGTGGACAAATGAAGGGAGAAGGATTGATGCTTTGTGTCAAGACATAGGGTGTGCTGAGGCAAAGAATGACACCCATCTTGGAAACATATTCTGCTTTCCCGGAGATGTCCATGACGAGTTGTAAGCTCTCCATAATGACAATCTGACCGAAGTATTGACTTCAACATAGTATCAGAGCAATACCACTGAGTGGGCCGGACAGGGAAGAAGAAATTCGACGTCTCAAGATTCGTGGAATTTTGGATGTTGAGGGCAAGAATAACATAGACGACCTAGCGGATGCCATGTTCGGCAAACTATGGGAGAAGATCGAAGATTCAATATCTCGGGGTACCCAATTCACGGGAACAGGTCAAGGTCAGTAGGCTGCAATCTTTCCCCGTCAAAACCAACTGACGAAGGCTTCGCAAAGATTGGGCACTCCAACAGACGCGATCTTTCCGAATACAGCATGCAGGAAACTCTGCAAGGCAAGACGTGGAAAGACAAATTTATCCCACGACATGCCCAGAAACGAGGGAAGTGGAGTATCCATTAGGACACTCTCGTCCACACTCAGCAGCTCCAGTTCCGTCCACTTCCACCTCGAATCTCCATATCGCAGTCAGTAATTCCGCGGCGCATCTTCCAACCCACGGAGACGGTAACGAGATAGCCCGAGATAGCCCTGGGTTTTCTGCCGAGGAAATTTCCGCACCAATGGTGCAGTCCGGGTCCATCGGCATGGTAGGCGAGCATACCCTAGCCTGGATGGGCAGTACGTTGAACATGCATGAAAACGCTTATCCAATACCACAAGAGCCCATGGACGCGATTGACGAGCGAGCCATTGCTTGGACGGGCAGCACATTGAACATGCATGAAAACGCTTATCCAATACCACAAGAGCCCATGGACGCGATTGACGAGCGAGCCATTGCTTGGACGGGCAGCACATTGAACATGCATGAAAACGCTTATCCAATACCACAAGAGCCCATGGACGCGATTGACGAGCGAGCCATTGCTTGGACGGGCAGCACATTGAACATGCATGAAAACGCTTATCCAATACCACAAGAGCCCATGGACGCGATTGACGAGCGAGCCATTGCTTGGATGGGCAGCACATTGAACATGCATGAAAACGCTTATCCAATACCACAGGAGCCCATGGACGCGATTGACGAGCGAGCCGTTGCTTGGGCGGGCAGCACATTGAGCATGCATGAAAACGCCGACCCAATACCACGAGAATCCATGGACATGCTTCAGGATCGAGATATTTTCGGACCAGATGGTGCAGTGGAGCCATTCGCGGTTGAGTATCGAGATCCTGAATCCCAAACTTCCATTGAAACACCCAATATCTCGTCACAATACCACTGGAGCATTTCTCGTCAGCAAATCCAGTGGCCTGTCGTCGTGAAATGATTTTACTCGCAGTCAGAACTTGCCATTGTGCATGCCAGCTATGCAGTCATTTGTGGCAAAAAAGATATCACATGTATAAATTGAACAAGTACATACTAATTGAGCACTTCTGTTAATCACGCTGGAACTATGAAAATAGCTGCTGCCCCCGAGCTAAGAAGTGGCTCATTAGTGACTTCAACGTAATAACGTTCTTTCAACGTTCCTCCAGGCGTTAAAGTGATTTCTTTTAATGGTATGAGATATCCTTGCTTTCGGTCATTAAGAAGTTTGGTAGGCTCCGACCAGTAAACAAGACGAAATCTCCAACCCTAATACTTGATCAGTCCAAGACCTTGAATACAATGAGACGTACATACAATGCCGATGCCCATCTTGCCCGTCAAACGCGAAATCTTTGCCGCAAGTGGATCTCCCCCGTAAGCCTTAGTCCCATTTTCGTCCTCCTCGAGAATCATCGCTTGAATTTCGCTGTGTTGATCTTCCAAAATAGCTGTTTCGGGTATCATTCCCTTTATTTCCTGTCGGATTTCTTCTGCGGCCCGAGGTAGTTCATGAGGATCCATTTTGGCGATATGTAGCAGCTACCGAAGAAGGCAGTGGTAGGGATCAGCAACGGTCGCTGGTTCAAGAGTCATGAGAGAGAAAAAATTATTTCTGGTATAATCAATATCTGCATACCTTGAGGAAAAGGAAAGAATGAACCTCGCCTTAGAATATCTTCAAGCTTCTAAGGAGGGGGAGGGGTCAGTCAAGTCAGAGAAAGCAACGTTAGGCACTAACTCACGTGATGATACGCAGATTACCGGACCGGACCTAAGCAGCAAGTCGTTTGCTCACGTGAGCGACTTTGTTATTCCTAGGCGGTCAATAATCCTCGCGCGTGAACTTACATCTTCCATTCATTATTTCATTCTCGCATCACTGTAGCATTCTCATTGATTTGAACTCTACCACAGCTATGCGCCGGCTATTCACTCAATCAGCCAGGCCCTCGAAGAAGTTACGTCTTTCCCTCCTTTTCAGACGAGGCTCTAGCAGGTCAATACAAAAAAACTGGAACTCGGTTAACGAGTTCTTCGAGTACACAAGGGGACGATTTGTATCAGATGAAAAACATGAACTGTCAATACGCCGGGTAAAATTTGATATGAACGAACTTGCGAGGCTTGCCGCTGATTCGGTCGGCGCAAGGGGATGTGTTCATATCAAAAAATTTCCTGATGGCATGTTCAACAAAACATTCTTGTTCACCATGGCAAATGGCATTGAAGTGGTCGCAAAGGTGCCAAACCCCAACGCCGGACAGGCTTGTCTTACGACAGCTAGTGAGGTGGCAACAATGGATTTTGTAAGCCGCCCTTGACTCTACTCTACGGCTTACCTGCTTCTTGATGGTCACTAATCTTCGTAAGGCTCGCAATGTCTTGGGTACTCCTGTTCCACGTGTTCTAGCCTGGAGTTCGAAAGCAGGCGAGAATGCTGTTGGTGCCGAATACATCATTATGGAAAAGGTTGCAGGTGTCCAGCTAAGTCACGTCTGGCACAATATGAGCATCGAAGATAGATTTGAAATTGTGAAAGCGATCTCAGGATATCAAAAATCTTGGTTGTCTACTTCCTTCACGAAATATGGGAGCCTTTACTATTCAAGCGACACCGACCATCAGAAAGAATGTGTTTTAATAAAGAGCGATGGCACTCGGGCCACAGAGCCTCATTTTGCTATTGGGCCATCGACAGGTCGAGATCAAGTTGATCATGGGCGGGTATCAATTGATTTTGACCGCGGACCATGTGAGTCGTCATTTTGGATTGATTTACATTTACATTGCTCACATAAGATTTTTTGTTGCTTCTAGGGGATGATGTTTTTCAGTATCGGCGCGCAGTTGGCTTTCGAGAGATTACCTGCGTACAGAGCATCGCAGAACTCCCCCGATCCCCTTTGAGTCTTTATGGACCCGGTACATACTGCCCGACTCGGGCTAAGAAAGCAGCTGCTCTACACAGTTACCTTCAGATGGTGCGATACCTCTTACCAACCGACACGTCGATTATGGCGTCCGTCCTGTGGCATAGCGACCTTCACACGGAGAACATTTTCGTTAACCCAGAACGCCCCACGGAAGTTTCAGGGATCATAGATTGGCAATCAACGGAACTATTACCTTTATTTGAACATGCTCGCCAGCCGTATTTCCTGGATTATGATGGACCAACCGTCGAAGGCCTTGTACCGCCAGCTTTCCCCGAGAATTTCGCCGAACTTTCGTTGGAAAAACAACTGGAAGCAAAACAGCTCTATATGAGCATGTCTCTGTCGGCATTATACAAGAACCTTACACATCGCGACAATCCGGTACTTTACAGGGCGATGGGGTTTCGGCAGACCAAATGTTTCGAAATGATGCTACTTGCCCAGAATCTTTTGGTAGACGGGGAGGCATTATACCAGGCCAATGCTCTGGATCTGGAGAAAGAATGGCCAGATATACCAGGCGTTCAAGCATTCGGAAATCCTCCTTTCCCAGTGCAGCTCTCCGATGGTGAGATTAGCTCACTCGAAAGTGATGTTTCTGGCGCCATTCGAGGTATGGAGTTGTTGGCGGATACCAAGAATTCACTAGGTGAGCTATGGCCAGAAAAGGGAGTCGTGAGGCATGATCAGTACGATGATACAATAAAGCTCCTGAACCAAGCCAAGGCCAAAACATACAAGCGTCTCAAGTCTTCTGAAGAAGAGCGAGCATGGAAATGAAGATTATGGCCATTTGGCAGTTGACTCGGAGCATTCGGGTAGTTTGTTTGTTTCTTTTTCTTGTGCATGCTCCTGCGATGTTGATTGGGCTTAGTTCTGAGAATAAAAACATAAATTAAAGTAACAAATACACCAGGCCATCCACTCTTACAGTTAGCCTATTAATAATACTATTTGAATATGCGTATACCCCTCATTTGCTTGGCTTGTTTAAAAATATTTAAGCAGAGCCAGGACCGGGGAAGCTGCTTCTTCTTCTATGTACTCTTGTGCTAGTGGACAGTTTGACTTGCAGAAGTTTGGGATTCGGTCTTATATTTGAATACTTGGTTATCGTGCGTACCTTTCTTACTTAGTAAGTAATCACATTTGATGCCCAATTTGGAGACATGGGTTGATAAATTTAGCCGAGATGAACCGCGCAAGACTGGAATCCCTCGAAAAGCTTAAGAACTGGGTGCTAGGACGAAATTCGCAAATCACAAAACTGGCCCAAGGTCAAGGCATCGCTGGCACTAGAGCTGCTCCGTCTCAGAGTGGTCAGAACGATGCAAGTATCGGATCTCGTCTCGATCACAGCGAGCAGATTGAGATAGATGGAAAGGACTACAGAAGATACAAATGGCAAATCAACAAGAACGCAGCGAACTCGACTCTAAAAGATTTGGCAAACAAAGACTCTCACAAGGTCTGGTCAGAGGCAGATGTCCCGGTTGATTCTGACACATCTGATGCGTCGGATGCAAAGGCGAGGGTCGAAAAGCTTTTCAATGACCTGAAGAAGAACATGAAGAGCTAGAATGGATGACCTATGATCCCTGAAATTGCAGGCAAATAGCAAAGAGGGGTTGCAGTTCGAAGGACGTTTATCTTCAAACTGCCAATCCCCAGATGACAGTATAGTCGCGGCATTTCCAAAATATATTTTAGCTCATGTATTGCTGCAGATTCGCGAACGCATCAAGGTGCATTGAGGCCGATTGACTCGAATTTTTTGACTGAATACCAGACCGATACCTAGATGTGCTGAGCAATTTGGTATTTGAGGCCAGAATGCACTCCCAACAGAACTTTACAACTGATCTTTGATCACGCACAGGAGCATATCACAAAATGTTTATTACAGTAACATCTCAGGTGTGTTTGTTGCCCCATCACTAGTCCATTTTAGGCGGATCTCTTGGTTGCAACCAAGAGATCCGCCTAAAATGGACTAGTGCCAAAAGTGACACGACAAGTGCCATCTTACAGGATTGGGGGTTGAATGGGATATAGGAAAGGGAATATGTCTAATTCTACTTTGTTTTATTTGTAGCCTTGAATGTCAGGAATATTCTTGCTGGGCTTTTTCCATCACTCTTTTGGTGCAGTTGTTGACGGACTTGCCCGGGTTGACTGTTATCCAATTCCTGGGAGCCTGGTGCAAACATCTAAAGATCGATTTATGGGCACGACCTGGGGACTGACCTTAAGCTTGAAACTGAAGATGTAGTATATTCGAATAATTCATCTCCTCTTTTCCTCCCTCCATCGGAAAAAAAAAAGATCTCAATCGAAGTTTACACGTGATTAGAGAAACTGTCAGAGATCGGACTTACCAGGTTATGTTTATTCCGATATATCATAGTTGATTAGTCACCTCGCCTAGCTAACTAGTTAGTTACTCAGTAAAGGATAATTTCAGCAACACAGACAGCCGCATGTTAAGGTCAGTTCCAGCTTTTTGGCATAACAAAGGATTAGTGACAGCCCGAAAAGAATCTTGAGATTCTACATATTTCCAAGGTATACTGGGTCATGAACAGTCTCTTTTGCACGATACTTCAAACGTACTCATTATCTTCGCGTGGATAAATTGTGTTGGGTGCTATAGACCAAAGGTTGTTGTGGCTTGTTTTATGAACGTTCAGATGCTATTTTGGTGCCAGTCTGTAAATCAAGCCGAACCTATTATCTCTCCTACCTACTACCACGTCGAGAAATAAACCCGATGTTGCCACCCTGATTCAAGCCTCAACCAAAGGAGCACAAGCCTACGTCGCTGATTGTATTATAAAGACGCTTCCTCAGAATCTTTAAAAGTTCGTAATCTCCATCAAGATTTTATCAAATGTGAGATTATGCCCTGTTTAAGCATAGAAAGCGTTCGCAGCCTGCTATCAACCTTCGTACCGCGCATCCTATCCCCAGGCAACCGACGTGAGACTGTTCTATTCGGAGGACCAGATTCCAATCGAAGTTCGATCCTCGATTCCATGAAGTCAGATATTCCCACGATGTCGAAAGAACAGCCTATCTTGATTTCATCTCCAAGCTCTGGTGTTCCTGCAAGGAGCCCAGTACCACAACGCTTGCACGTAAGTGCTCATCTCTTTCATGTTCACACAAGCCTCTAACCAAACAGACCATGCGCATTTGGTTTCCTCACAGTGGCATTGAAATCATGAAAGATGTCAAAAACAATGGCCTCGATGATGTGGTGCTTGATGCCATTGCTCTTCGAGAATTTGGTGCTAGGAATCAAGCCCAGGATGACCATGGCAACACGATGGATGCATTTCCAGTCGATCTTGCGGTTCTCGAGGCTGGTATTTCACGAGTTTGGGGGAAATATGGCATTCCAAAATTCGTTCCTCTGAGCAGTGACGATCCGATTATCTTGAAACAACCGACAAAAGACCCGGAAGCGAAGAAGGGTCTTTGTTTCCAGCGCCTACATTCAAAATATCTGTACGAGTATGGAAGAAGGCAAAGTCTCGCAAAAGTTTTGGGATATGAGATGCCTGTGAATTTGAAGGACTGGTATGAGGACACAGTGCAAGACATTGGCAGACGCCTAGAAAAGCTCGGTTACTATTGATCCGAAGGGATATAGTCCAAATTGGGGAAGCAAGAAGGCGAACTATGAGGGTGCTGTTTAAGACAATGTTTGGGCATGGACTTTAAGGTATTCTCCTCTTCACTATTGTTCGTCTCAAGAAAACAACCAAGAGCTGTTATGCTCCAGATATCCGGTGATCAAAATAGTGTCATCTACGCTAATTCATATCATTACCATATCTGAGACCATGTAAGAAACTTCCCATAATGAAGTGAAGTCACTCTCCGGAGTACAATCTGTACCGGCGCATTTACAGATATCTGCTGCTTCTCGAAACCTAGCAGGTATTGATCAGCACTAGAGAGCTTGTGGCACATTTCTTTGTTTCCCATTGCCCGACTAAACGGAGAGTCACTTGGGCGAATCAATACCGTTTTACTATTAGAGACAGAAAAGGGGCATCAATTAAAGTCTGGATAATCTATTCTGATGACTGTATAAATCTTTGATCTAGGGTTTCTTCCAGCCAATAATCACGAATTACATCTAGAATCGAACAAAACCATTTATGCCAGCAGTTGATTTTTCAACCAGAAAGGTTTGGACTCGGATTACGATGGCAGTTTATTTAGCAAATCTAGAGCTTTGATGACGAGCAATTTAGAATGCACAATACAAGGGAAGTATGCAAGTACTTGCATGCGGGAATCTTGTTCCTAGGAACATTTAGTGCTGCGCGCTGTGAGTTTCCTCTCACGAGTAATATAAGTACACCGAAATATACCACATTGGCATGTCCATAACCATGCGTGACCAGGAGCTGGAAACCCTTTCCCTCGGCGCTTTCATATGGCATTCTTTAATACTTTACGTTACTATTCTATTTTGCGTAATAACTTGTCGCCACATCCGAGAATCCTTGTTTTACGTATGCTTGCCTCGGCCATTTGGATACAAGGCTTACAATTGTTAGTGAAGAGTAACATATAGTTGCAGTCTCGTCACTCGGCAATCCATACACCCTGCCTCCTTGACTTCGTTCACAAGGCATCACCGTGAGATGATCATGAACCGAAGCGAACCGTTTGTTATGGCAAGATGTGCACTTGAATGGCTTCAAAACCAGCAGGTATGTAGCCTTGATGATTTTGTTTCATGTCTGACAGATTCAGACACACCTGGGAGCAGATTGGAAATTTCATCTCGCTTATAAAATCATGGATAAAAAAATACGGCAATGGGGTTTCACACGTGGTGGAACTGTTATAAGTGGAATGAAGATATCTGAGACCATAGGAATGTTCGAGGGAGAGATGGAGGTGACGAAAAGTGTTTTGGTTGTGAATAGTACCATTTAATTGATGTCAAACTCTATCACGCTTTACAAAGCCGATAGGAGGGATGATGTGTTGGCAACAAAGACGTTAAGCCTGTCCTACTTTCCGCGCGATCTTTACCAAAATGAGAGTCGAAGGGCACAGGATTCACCAAGCAGTCAACAGAGCTAAGAATCTTACGTACTATAAGTTTTCTCCAAGAGAGCCTAGTTCTGGAGAGGAGGAACATATAAGATCTTGGTCCCACCAAGGGGATTGGGTAATATTGGTAGCCCCTGCAGCGTTGGAGATAGAGCCTTTTTATTACTGCTCTTCAACTATGAAGATCATTCTTTACCGTAATCAAGCGGATAAATCACTCCACCACCTAAGGCCTGCCATGCATCACCACCCAAAATACCAAAATAGTGCTCTCAAACTGTCATTCTTTACTTTGTCTAGACCTAGTTGGTTTTCCGTGTTGAAAAGTCCTTAAACTCCACAAAGTAACTACCTGCACCCGGAGGACTACCCCAGCATCCAATCGGTGTTCAAAATTAGTCTTGACAGGTAATGAATGTTTCAGTTTTCCAGACCTGCAGTTCCGTTAGCTAGCTTCCTGCCCTTGAGAATCTTCTCCTTTCCATTCCGGTCTCATTTAGGCGGAACAAGGTACGATCATTGTTCCAGGTTACGCGTATAAATCTTTTCGTACCCGTCAGACAGAAGATTCAGTTTCTCATGGAATTCTCTATCTACGAAGCGCCTTCAATGCCTGAACTTGACACTGCTTTCAGGAAGGATGAGCACCATGATGCACCTTGTGATTTTGATTTCATGATTCCTACGCTATCATTTCCAAATGCTAATCTTTCGTGGACAATTTACCATGGCACCGATCAAGGTTCGTCTAGAATATCAAATAGTAAAGGGGTATAGCTAATGACTGTAGTGGTGATTGCGATCGTTACACAGTCGAATGAACAATATTTTGCTTGCCCATGTACTAGAGAGCTTTCAAAAAACTGCGAAGTTTTGTTTCCTAGTGAATGCCCTATGTTTTCCATCCCACAGATCTACACGGGCATGATGCAGACATCTCGTGAATCCACACTCAACGGGACAGCCGGAAGAGCTATTTTGGAGTTTTTGGATTGGGAAATGGTATATTCCAAGGACAGCACCATCAAAAGCTCAGCAAAGATTGCCAAAAAGCTTCAGAAGAGGGTATCTGTTCGCACCAGTGGGGTGCTGATAGAATGTCCTTGGAGATATGATCTGCCTCTAAAATCAGGAACACTGGTGGATCTGAGAAAGGTGGATGATTTGTGGTCAATTCAGGTGGAATTTGAAGATTTCTGCTCTCCTGGAGTGAGATTTGGTGATCTCGCAGAGCTGGCAGCATGCCTCCACTGTTGATAGAGTGAGAGTTGGCTTTTTGTTACAGCCTCACAACTGTATTCAAATCGTAGCTGACCGAATAGTTTCTCTTCTTCGCGCCAGCCTGATAGACATGGCTAGGTGAGACGGCCCCCAAACCTTGCCACACATCTAGTGTATGAACACCCCGAAGGGCAAAGCAGAAAGTTCACAATGTACAATCCTCAGCGAAGTCGCGTGTTGGGCCCGCATCGTTTACTAGAAATGTTATGGTTTGATAAT